CATATAACAAGCCCACGCCTAACATCAACTGAGCAATGAAAAACTGAAAGTTTTTCCTTTAAGATCAGGAATAGGACAAGGATGCCCACTCTCACTACTTTTATTCAAGACTAGCAGCCCGGTGCACGAAATTCATGCACGGGTAAGGTCCCTAGGCCTGGCTGGCGATCAGGGCCAATCTATGGGGCAACCGGCAGGGCAATCGGGGCCCCCGCTTGCACCTGCCTTGGCCTGGAGCCGCCTGCTCACCGGCCCTGCCCCCCACCACCGCTGCCACTGGTCGCTGTCTTTGGGGCGACCAGCAGGGTGATTGCGGCCCCCGCTCGCACCCGCCTTGGCCTGGCGCCGCCCACTCATCTGTTCCACCATCCTGCCATGGTCCCACTCTCGTCGGGGCCTATTGGTGCTGGCAGCGCCTCTACTGCCACCCGCTGCCAGCACTGCGTCACCGACGCACGCCATGTTCCACGCCACCCCCTGGTGGTCAGTGCATGTCTAACTCCCAGTCTGTCAAACTCCCGCCTGTGGGGACAATTTGCATATTAGCCTTTTATTATATAGGATTATATAGGATAGGACTGGAAGTCCTAGCCAGAGCAATTAAGCAAAAAAAAAAAAAGTTCTTAAAATTGGAACAGGAAAAGTACAACTGTCTTTATCTACAGATGACATATATTAAAAAAGAACCCTAAAGACTCTTCCAAAAAAAATGTTAGACATATAAAGAAATCAGGAATGTTGGAAGATAGAAAATCATTATACAAAATCAGTTGCATTTCTATACACTAACAATAGACTATTATAAAGAGAAATTAAGAAAATCACCTTTATAATTGCATCAAAAAGAATTAAATACCTAGGAATAAATTTAACAAAGGAGGTAAAATATCTGTGCACAAAAACTGTAAGACATTCTAAAGAAATTAAAGAAGACACAAATAAATGGAAAGATATTCCATGCTCATGGATTAGAAAAATTCATATCGCTAAAATGCCCATACTACCCAAAGCAATCTACAGATTTAATGCAATTTCTATAAAAATTCCAATGATATTTTTCACATAAATAGAAAAAAATTTATAAAATTATATGAAGCCACAAAACACCCCAATAGCCAAAGCAATCTTGAGAATGAAAAATAAAGGCATCACACTTTCTGGTTTCAAACTATATTACAAAGCTATAACAATATAGTATTGGCACAAAATCAGACAGACACAGATCAATGGAACTGAAGAGAGAGCCCAGAAATAAACCCATGCATATATGGTCAATTTATGTACAACAAAGGAGCCAAGAATATACTATATGGAAAGCATAGTTTCTTCAATAAATGGTGCTGGAAACACTGGGAAGCCACATGCAAAAGAATGAAACAAAATCACTATATTCCATACACAAAAATTGACTAAGATGGATTAAAGACTTGAAGATAAGATATGCAACAATAAAACTCCTAGAAAAAATAGGAAGTAAGCTCCTTGACATTGGCCTTGGGAATAATTTTTTGGATTTGACAACAAAGGGAAAGAAAACAAGCAAAAATAAACAAGTGGTACTACATCAATCTAAAAGGTTTTTGTACCTCATCAACAAAGGAAACATCAACAAAATGAAAAGGCAACCTATAGAATGGGAAAAAATATTTTTAAATCATATCTGATAAGGGGTTAATAGTCAAAATATATAAAGAAGTCATACAACTAAATAGCAAAAAAAAAAATCTGATTTGAAATGGGCAGATAAACTGGATAGTCTTCAAAGAAGACATACAAATGACAACAGGTACATGAAAATCTACTCAATATCACCAATCAGAAAAGTACAAATCAAAACGATGAGATATCACCACACACCTGTTAGAATGGGTATCATCAAAAAGAAAAGTGTTGGTGAGGATGTGGAGAAAATGAACTCATACACTATTGGTGGGGATGGAAACTGGTATAGTCACTATGAGAAACAGTATGGAGGCTCCTCAAAAAATTAAAAATAGACCTACCATATGATCCAGCAATTTCACTTCTGAGTATATAGCCAAAGACAATGAAAACAGGACATCAAAGAAATATCTGCACTTCTATGTTCCTTTCAGTATTATTCACAATAGCCACAATATGGAAACATCCTAAAAGTTTATGTCCATAAACAGATGAATGGATAAAGAAGATGTGATAGATATGTACATATACACAATAGATATTACATACAAGATTATTCTTCCATGAGAAAGATGGAAATCTTGCCATTTGCAACAACAATGATGGGCCTTGAGGGCATTATACAAAGTGAAATAAACTAGACAGGAAAACAAATATTCATGGTATCACTTATATGTGGAAGCTGAAAAATAAAAATGTCAAACTAAGAAACAGTAGAAAAGTGGTTGCCAGGGGGTGGAGGTAGGGAAAATATAGAGAGGTAAAGGGTACAAACTTTCAGTTATAAGATGAATAAGGTCTGAGGATCTGATGTATAACATGGTGACTATAGTTGACAACACTGTAATGTATAATTGAAACTTGCTAATAGAGGAGAACTTAAATGTTCTCACCAAAATAAATAAATGAGTGGTGATGAGTCTTTTAATTAATGAGATGGTGGGAACCATTTTACAATGTACACGTATCTCAAATCACTACAATGTATACATTAAATATCTTACAATTTCATATGTCAATTATACCTTGATGAAGCTGAAAATCTTTTGTTATTTCAAGTTAAAACATTCTATTCATCAGTAACAAAGCCTAAGGCAATGTTTTCAGTAAGAGATTATTTTCCTAAAAACAGTAAATTTGGTCCCAAATAATTTGTAAAAATCTTCCTAAATGGATGTTTAAATGCAATAGAAATTAAACTTGGAAAAGAATGAGAAATAAAAAGGAAAAAGCTCATTGAAAGGTTGGATTTCAGAGACTAAACATTAAATTTAGAATATATAAACCTTTACTCATTCAAAGCATTTTAACTTTGACAAAAAAAAAAAAATCATAGCCATGAAAACTTTGCTATGAAATAATCAGATTAAAGCCAGGAATAAAATTAAGCTGACTTCAAGGGAAGTCTGTCATTCAGTCCCTTTGGTCTTTAGCTTAAAATTCATCAGAAAAATGTCGTAAAAATAATTGCTTAAAAACCTCAAAAGTGTCAGCAAAAATGTACATAAATATATAGCCTACTAGAGGCCCAGTGCACGAAATTTGTGCAGGGGCAGGGGTCCTTCAGCTCAGCCTGCACCCTCTCCAATCCAAGATCCCTCTCGTAATCCGGAACCACTGGCTCCTAAGTGCTCACCTGCCTGCTTGCCTGATGACCCTAACCACCTAACTGCTCTCCCCTCCTGACCTGATCACCCTAACCACCTATCTGCTCTCCCCTCCTGACCTGATCACCCTAACCACCTATCTGCTCTCCCCTCCTGGCCTGATCACCCTGCCTAACTGGGACCTTCTCCCTTCTTCCTTCTCCCGAGGCACGGGCCTTCTCACCTTCTCCCTTCTGCCTTCTCCCATGGCGCTGGCTTTCTCACCTTCTCCCTTCTGACTTCTCCCACGGCGCCAGCCTTTTCACTTTCTCCCTCTGCCTGCTCCTGCATGGCATGGGCCTTTTCACCTTTCCCTTCTGCCATCTCCCCAGGCGCCGGCCTTCTCACCTTCTCCCTTCTGCCTTCTCCCATGGTGCCTGTCTTCTCACCTTCTCCCTTCTACCTGCTCATGCATGGTGCCAGCCTTTTCACCTTCTCCCTTCTGTCTTCTCCCAGGGTGCCATCTTCTCCCTTCTGCCTGCTCCTGCATGGTGCTGGCCTTCTCACCTTCTCCCTTCTGCCTTCTCCCAAGGCACCAGCCTTCTCACCTTCTCCCTTCTGCCTTCTCCCGGGGCGCTGCCTACCCTCGAGTTGCCTCAGGCTGGTCCCTCATTCTCCCGGCGCCTCCCCGCTTCTGCCTCATCTCTGGAGCAATGCCCTGTGGCATGCATAGGAGCTAATAAAGAGCTAATATGCTAATGGTTCGGTCGTGACTTATGGCGTCCTGGCCTAATTTGCATATTACCTCTTTATATATATAGTTTCTTATTTGTCAAAAACACTGAAATAAAGAAAAATTATGTAAACCTCAGTTCTGGTGAGTATGATAGCAGAGATGTCCTCCTGCACCAGGCCAGCACAGCTCCCGGCATTTAGGCCCCAGCATCAGCAATGCTAAGCCACTGACAGTGGTATCTTAACTAAAAGTAACTCAACTTTTAGTTACTTTTGGGCATTGTTATTGGCTGCAAAGCTTCTGAGTATACCTCAAAGGTTCTTCCTAAGAGTTTGAGCTGCCTAGTACCCTTTAAGAAATTCTTTTCCTGCCCTAACCAGTTTGGCTCAATGGATAGAGCTTGGCCTGCGGACTGAAGGGTCCCAGGTTCGATTCTGGTCAAAGGCATGTACCTTGGTTGCAGGCACATCCCCAGTAGGGGGTGTGCAGGAGGCAGCTGATCGATGTTTCTCTGTCATCGATGTTTTTAACTCTCTATCCCTCTCCTTTCCTCTCTGTAAAAAATCAATAAAATATATTTTTAAAAAATTTATTTTAAAAAAATTCTTTTCCTGCTTAAATTAAGCAAACAACCAATATTAAATCAATCAACAAGCCAACCTATCCTTCACCTTGGCACCATTCTAGCCCAGGCATGTGAGGAAAGAAGCCTTCAAGGATTCCAATCCCCCAGCCATGCAAGTACCTGAATGAAGGCCCCTCACATCATGGATATAACATCCCCACCTTGCCTCAGCTACTTAAATTATGGTCCACAGAATCTGTGAACATAATATAATGATTGTGATTTTACATCAGTAACATTTGTAGTGGTTTTTTATGCAACAAGAAGGACGTAGCCATCTTTCTGTGATTTGAACAAAAAGAATTCTTACTCTTCATAATTCTACACACTTGGATTCCTTTATATTAAGATTTAATTCTGATATTTATGCCTCCTTCTCCTCTTGGCACAGATAATGTAAATGGACACTGCACAAGCCCAACTTCTCAGAGTTGCGGTTCTGGAAAACGCCTTTCCAGCGCTGATGTTTCCAAAGTAAACCGCTGGGGTCCTGCAAGACCACCTTTTCGAAAAGCACAGTCAGCTGCCTGCATGGAGATTTCTTTACCAGTTACAACAGAAGGTAGGTTAAACATACACATTTTTGTGGATACAATTAAAATTTGACATACCATGCATGGTATTGGGAGCTGGAGGACAAGGGATGGAGGTCATGTGTAAAAGATAAACAAAACAGTCAACTCTAGGCAGTGACTAACAGAGCCTGGTCGGGCTATTGTCATGATGCCAAATCCATTCCCCACTCCCCCTCCTTCTTCACCTCTGAAACCAGAATGGCTCTGCCTATTGGTGGGCTCCCACCTCCTCTGTACAAAGGGTGACCTATGCCTTAATCTGTTGTCTGTACTCCAAAGCTTATTCTCATCTCTAAATTCTATTAAAACAACTATGTTTATAAACTTGCCAAGGGATAGGAAGGAGAAATTAGGAGTACTATATTTTGTTTTCTAGAAAAAGAATAGTCTGAGAATTTATACTTAGTCTCTGTTTATAAAAATGAGTCACAGTCTACCTATGAAGAGGGAACGGTGAGTGAAGGCAATAGAAAGAAGAATATGAGAAACTTGTACTCTGGAGTTTCTAAGAATACAACCTTCCTAATACCCTTTAACTGAGGTGGTGAGTTTATGCTGCTGGAGTGTGTGCACTGTTAAGTATTGATGAGCAGGAGAACCTGAAACCATCCCGTGTTTTTTTAAGTGGGCTGAAGCCTCTGAGAAAGATTACCACTGTCAATCGGACGGCACTGTCCACAGCTCCTTTCTTGGCCCCATGCAATTAGGACTGAATTTGGATTCAAGGCAGGCAGCTGGGAACTAGTTCAGGAAGATAACATTTGCTCTTTGGCCTTGGTAAATAGTTCAATTTTTTACAGCTGTAATTACTCCAGATATAGCAAAACCAAAAAGTGCATTAAGGAAATGTATTTGCCATAGAGCATTTGTGATCCTTCAGGTTAGTAGCCACTGTGTTGTCAGTAAGTGGAAATTGCCAAGAAACCGTTAGGAATACTTCCAACAATTGAGAGATAGATAGGAAGCATAATTAAAATGGTGCCAGAAATTCTTGTAACTTTGACTATTTAGACTAAATATTTTCTCCAGGTTAGAGAATTTCAACTAACATGTAAGATGATGTAGAGAGAAAAGCATGGTGAACTGGAGAGTCGAGTTCTAGTCCCAGCCCTGCTTATGTTGATTTACACTCTGCACTTTAGTCTCTTCCTCTTCAAAATAACCTGGCGAACTGGATAAGCTGCCTTCCGGATCAGCTAACAAAGAATAAAATTCTATGTCCCCTTCATAATTTTGGTTTTCATGTACTAAGTCTGACTTTACTTTTTCTGGAAGTACACTAACATTTAATCTTTGTTCTTTAAATTTCCACAGAGAGCCGAGAAAATTCCTATAGTCGTTCTAGAAGCTCTAGCATTTCCAGTATTGACAAAGACTCCAAAGAAGCAATTACAGCACTGTACTTCATGGAGTCCTTCGCTCGGAAAAATGACTCCACCATCTCCCCTTGTTTGTTTGTTGGAACTAGTCTGGGGATGGTGTTAATCATGTCCCTGAGCCTCCCTTCAGCAGAGGAACAAAGACTCACAGAGCCAGTCATGGTATTGCCAAGTGGTAAGAGTTTTTAGTTATTCCTTCTTTGTTACTTTTTAAAATTTAGATATAAGGTATTACAATACCTTCATTGTATTGATGTATTCTGTATAATAGGAACTATTGAGAATTTCATAAGTCATATACTATTTCAACATTTGTCATATTGCAACTTACCTTTCCTTTGCAGTGGTTCTCGACCTTCCTAATGCCGCGACCCTTTAATACAGTTCCTCATGTTGTGGTGACCCTCAACCATAAAATTATTTTCATTGCTACTTCATAACTGTAATTTTGCTACTGTTATGAATTGTAATGTAAATATCTGATATGCAGGATGTATTTAGGCAATCCCTGTGAAAGGGTCGTTCGACCCCCAAAGGGGTTGCGACCCACAGGTTGAGAACCGCTGCTTTAGGGTAAAATAGCACAACCATTTCTATGGTAGTAAACTGGAACAGCCAACCTAAACATTGCCTTGGAAAAGAAGTTCCTCAGAAGCACTGAACTGAAGAAAAACCTCAATGCAAAAGTTAAAAAGTTATTTTTAATGAACTGAAGCATTTCTCCAAAGTTCCATACCAGATCAGAGCCTATGAGTGTTTTTGTATCATTCTTGAAGAACTCAGAACAATTAAGCTAGAAGTGTCTGACTTGAGGTGGCTCTAAAGTCTTTGATAAACTTCTCATCTTGTTTCACTCAATTTCTTTCCTTTTTATCCTATTGCTCAAAACATATGTTATATTCTCTTCCTACTTGAATTATCTTTTTTCATTCAAAGAGATGAGTGAGATTCCTCCTGTTATTCCTTTTAATATTTTTTAATTTGTTCTCTTTCCTATTTATGATAAAAGTTATCTGAGAAACATTTCTAAAAAAAGAATTTTATTAATATATAGCATAAGGGCCGAGACCGGTTTGGCTCAGTGGATAGAGCGTCGGCCTGCGGACTGAGGGGTCCTGGGTTCGATTCCGGTCAGGGGCATGTACCTGGGTTGCAGGCACATCCCCAGTGGGGGATGTGCAGGAGGCGGCTGATCGATGTTTCTCTCTCATCGATGTTTCTGACTCTCTATCTCTCTCCCTTCCTCTCTGTAAAAAATCAATAAAATATATATTTAAAAAAATATATATATATATAGCATAAGGGATTTTATTTTAAAAGAACACATATAAATGGTATAGTAAGTTAGATAAAGTTGTGTTTTCTTAGTTAACTGGTTATGCTAAATTCGTATATATGAATTATTACTTACTAGAGGCCCGGTGCATGAATTCGTGCACCAGTGGGGTCCCTCAGCCTGGCCTGCAGGATTGGGCTGAAACTGGCTCTCTGACATCCCCTGAGGGGTCCTAGATTGCGAGAGGGCGCAGGCCAGGCCGAGGGACCCCACCCGTGTATGATCGGGGCCAGGGAGGGACGGGGGCGGTTGGCCAGCCAGGGAGGGACTGTGGGAGGGCTTGTCCGGCCCATCTCGCTCAGTCCCAATTGGCCGGACCCCAGCAGCAAGCTAACCTACCAGTTGGAGCATCTGCCCCCTGGTGGTCAGTGCACGTCATAGCGACTGGTCAACCTGTTGTCTGTCTGCCCCCTGGTGGTCAGTGCACGTCATACCGCCATCTTGGCTGACAGTTAATTTGCATATACTCACTGGTTAGCCAATGAAAAGGGTAGCGGTCGTACGCCAATTACCATGTTTCTCTTTTATTAGTGTAGACTAGAGGCCCGATGCACGAATTTCATGCAAGAGTAGGCCTTCACTGCCCCGGCTGCCTCAGCCCTCACAGCCCTGGCTTCATCTGGAAGTTCATCCGGACAGTCGTTCCACTGTTCGGCCTGTTGATTTTTATATTGCGCTTTTATTATTATAGATTTTAAGTGGAATAGCTCTCTCTACTAGTGTGGCAAATTCACATAAATGCATGTATATGGCTTAAACAACAGTTTATTTTCTCATACTTCTGAAGGCTAGAGGTCCAAGAGTAAGGTGTTGGCACTTTTGGTTTCTTCTGAGGCCCCTCCTAGATGTGCAGGGGGCCATCACTGTGTATGCATGTACCCCTGGGGACTGCCTGTCCCAATCTCCTCTTCTTAGTCTGTTGGATTAGGGCCCACCCTAACAGCTTCATTTTAATTTAATCACCTCTTTAAAGTCTATCTTAAAGTCACAGTATAAGGTACTGGGGTTTATGGCTTCAACATATGAATGGCGGGGGGGCACAATTCAAATTATAACATGCATTGTATTTTAGAAGTTAATCTATTTGGATCATTTTTAAATTTATTTTTAAATTATAGTTGACATACATTATATTAGTTTCAAGTGTACATTAGTGATTCGACATTTATAGACTTTATAAAGTGATCACCATAAGTCTAGTGACCATTTGACACCATAGATAATTATTACGATATTATTGACTATATTCCCTATGCCCATGACTTTTTCTATAAATGGCAGTTTGTACATCTTAGTCCCCTCCTTCACTTTTTCACCCATCCCCCAAAACTCTGCTATCTGGCAATCATCAGTTTGTTCTCTGCATCTATGAGTTTGTTTCTGAGTGAAATAAGATAGAGGAAGACAAAAACTGTATGATTTCACTTATGTGGAATCTAAAAAATAAAATGAGCAAACAAAGCTGAAACAAACTCATAGATACAGAGGATTACTTTTTAAATTATAAATTTATTTCACAATAAGAAAACATTTTTTACTACATTGCTAATTTTTAAATAAATAGGCACAATTCTTTTAGTCCTTAGCTCACTATTTAGTGAAATTGAGAACTGTGGCTTTTTTTTTAAAGTTAACCAAATTGACAAACCTTTGGCTACACCAGTGATGGTGAACCTTTTGAGCTCACTGTGTCAGGATTTTGAAAAACCCTAACTTAACTCAGGTGCCATGTCACATATAGAAATTTTTTTATATTTGCAACCATAGTAAAACAAAGATTTATATTTTTGATATTTATTTTATATATTTAAATGCCATTTAACAAAGAAAAATCAACCAAAAAAATGAGTTCGCATGTCACCTCTGACACGCGTGTACTAAGAAAAAAAGAGAAGACTCAAATAAAATCAGAAATGAAAAATAAGCCATTACAATTGATACCACAGAAGTAAAAATTATATGCCAACAAACCGGATAACCTAGAAGAAATGAATACATTCCCAGAAACACATAACCTACTAAGACTGAATCACTAAGAAATAGAAAGTCTGAACAGACCTGTAACTACTAAGGAGAAGGAATCAGTAATAAAAAACCTCTTCACAAAGAAAACCCACTTATTTTCTAAGGAATCTTTTCACATAAGTTTATCTTGAAAATAAATTCTAATCAATGATACGGAAATTTGAGATCACTGAACTATTGAATTTTAGAGGGAACGCATCTAGAGAGTACCCATTCTAGTGGTGATCGCTGTGGTTGGAATCAGAATCAATATGGGTTGTTATAGCAGATTATTGGGTGCCATCCAGGCGTTTCTGATTCAGTAGGTCTGGGCTGGGGGCTGGAGATTTGCCTTTTTAACAAGCTCCCAGGTGATGCTGATCATGCAAATACAACTTCGCAGGCAGGGATGGAAAAGCCTGCCGTTTGTCCCTCCTGTGTAAGGAAAAACCTAGTCCTTCCTCCCATGCCACACAACTTCCTTTACTTTCTCACTCCTGCCACACTCACAACTTCTTACACAGAGGTATGGTGGGATTTTTCCCACAACAAGCAATTCTCTGCAACACTGGCTGGGTGTCCCATAATTTAACTCAATTCTGATACCAGAGATAACGTCATATCCCACAAGTTAAGGGCTCAGTCCCACAAGTTAAGGGCTCAGTCACACCAGACTGTCCCCCACACTCCTTCAGGAGCCAGTCGCAAGTCTAGGTTGTTACTACCTGTGCTTCGGCTATAAGTCTGAGGACACAACTCCTCCTTGGCTTTAATTTGCTACAGCAGCCACAGAACTCAGAAAAACTAGTTACTTATTGTTTCCAGTTTATTATGAAGGATACAGATGAATATCCAGATAGAAGAGATGCCAGGACAAAGTAAGTGGGAAGGTCACAGAGCTTCCATGCTTCTCCCGCACCTCCACTTTTCACCAACCCGGAAGCTCTCCAAAACCCTCCTTTGGGTTTTTATGGAGGCTTCACTGCACAGGTATAATTGATTGAGTTCACTGGTTATTGAACTCTATCTCCAGCCCCTCTCCATCAGGCAGATCCTCTAATCACTTGTTGGTTCCCCTGGCAACTAGCCTCCACCCTAAAGCAAGGGCCAGTCACCTCCTTAACATAACAAGACACCTGTGTATCTCTCCTCACTTAGGAAATTCCAAAGGTCCCTGCCCCAACTGGTAATGAAGACCAAATACATATCCTATCTAATAAAAGAGTAAATTAACCATCAGTCCACGACAAAAATGGTGGTGCCCATAGTGGCCTGGGCAGGACGCTGGCGGCGTTGCCCTGGCAACGAGAGCCCAGCATCTGGCCCGGCTGCATGGAGGGAGAGGAGGGAAGGGGCCTTGGGCGGAGTCTACCTCGAGGGATACCCAGCGTCTGGACGGAGGGGAGGGCAGAGGCCTTGGGCCAGAGTCTGCGGTGAGGAGAGCTGGGCTTACAGCAACGCAAGCCCAGTGTCTGCACCCTGGCCGGGTGGAGGAAAGTGAGGGCAGGGGCCTTGGGCCGGAGTCCATGGTGAGGGATGCTGGGCTCGCTGTGATGAGTTCAGCTTTAGAAGTTATTTACTAACCATCAGTAAGTAAATAACTTCTAAAGCTGAACATGTGTGCTCAGCCGGGTGAAGAGAGGGTAGGGGAGAGGCCTTGGGCTGGAGTTCGTGCTGAAGGAGGGGAGGGGAGGGGCCTTGGGCCAGAGTCTGTGCCCTAGATGCACGGAGGGAGGGGAGGGCAGGGGCCTCCGGCCGGAGTCCACAGTGAGGGATGCTGGGCTCCTGGAGTCCAGGCAGGGGGAGGGGAGTGGAAGGGAGGGGTCTCGGGCTAG